TGTTTAAGTAGCAGCATTCCTTTAGATTCTCTCTTTCTTGTTAGTGTTAATTTTACTTCCCTTTTTGTAATACAGTACTGGACTACTTCGTTGCAAATTTCAATTTCTGGTCTTCATTTGTTTTTACTGATTATGCGTTAATGTGTTTTCGCGGAATTTGTTTTGAAATGTTATTAACGCAGCGTATGACAAGTAATCAAGTATTTGTATATCGGTTTTCTCTCTGTATACGTCTATTTAAATTTTCGTGAATGAATTGCACTTGGAACTATTCCACGTCATGTAACGAGTAATTAGCAATTAAATATGTTTACTCGCAGCTTAAAAAAACGTCTATTAAGCTTAAAAATGTAGCAGCTGGAATAACAGTTTATTTTGTTTTTTTTTCACCGAGGATTCCATTATTCGAAAATGCAATGTGTACGACGAAGAAATAACTAGAAATAAGACAAAGAGAGCGCGTAAAACAGCGGAATAATCCTCGACTGTCGGTATTAAAACCGGAAATGCATTTATAACCTCCGTGTCGCTGCATCCTCTGATTATGCAGACGCAACGGTCGTTGATTCCCACTTTGACAACATACGTTGGACATACTCAAATGTGTTTCGGTATGTTCGGGCCTCGGAATTTCTCTCTTCTCTCTTCCTATCTCTGGTTTATCTCTGCGCCTTTCAGCGATGATGGCAGAGGCGAGCGTATCACGTCGTGCGTAACGAGATTACGGTGCGCAGAAATTATTAATCTTCTTCATAAAGCGATTATTTTCCAACGAAAGGTATATATTCCCCTTGTATGCCCTGCATTATGTTGTATATTGCGTTATATTTGAATTTATGTGGAATGTCGTACTCTTAAATAATATAGACACAAAATATTTCTATACATACAAAAGATGCACATAATATAAATAACATTGCGAAAAATTTCCAGACTTTATCCGTTCAAAATGTAACAAACGAATATTTCCGATAGATTTTGATTGTATTTATAAGACTGTCCGATAAAATTTTGATCGTATTTAGGACTATCTAATTTAGGATAAATTTGTCTTAATATTTTATCGGATAGTCCTAAATACGATCAAAATCTATCGGAAATATCCGTTTGTTACATTTTAAACGGATAAAGTCTGGAAATTTTTCTCAGTGTACGAGTTAAAATATCGAAATAATACTGTATTATAGTAGGGTAAAGTTGCCGAAATCGCACTGGCTCTTAAATCGCACTACCTCGCTTTAAAACTCAATTATTGTATTTATATACTTTCTTACGGGTTATTTAAGAACTACATGATACTGTAATGCTATTCTGTTATACTCGTGATATGAAGTGCAACAGGAGTGTTATTTACATAAATAAAAAAATCGTGATAGCGTTACTATTTTTCAACATATTTTATTGCAGAAAATATAAGTTAAATAGCCTAAGTCTTGACCATTTGTCGTGATTACAGTATTATTAAAATTAAATTAATAGGATATGAAAGTTGTTTTACATGATTTTTTTTATAGATAAAATAAATAAAAATTAAAATAGTGCTCTAGTTTTTTAAATCGCATCATAATCTAATTTCTTAAATTGCACGTTTTTTTTACCTAATATTTTTCCATTTCTTACATTTTATTCCATTCATATTATGTAAAAATGTATATTGTAAATATCTACGAAGTATTTATTTTGTTTCACGTAGAAACTGTTTAAATTACTTCTTGAAATTATCATATGTTTCAGAAATTATGAAAAATATATTCTTAAGTTTTTAATAGCATAGTAAAATACAATTTTTTCCTTTTTTATGTAATTTTTAAATTTTTTGCATTATCATAATGTTTTAAATGAGGAATATTGCTATGGTGCGATTTTTTTAGGTAACGAATTTCCTTGTTGCCAAAATCGCACCATACTGAAAAAAATCCTCATTTTAAACGTTATAATAGCGCAAAAAAATTATGAAAAAATTACATAAGAAAGGAAAAAGAGTGCAGTTTATTGTGCTGTAAAAAACTTATAAAAATATTCTTCATAATTTCTGAGTTATGAGCCTTTAAAAAAAAGTGGTGCGATTCGGTAGCCTTATCCTACGAATATATGTATAAGATCTTTATATTTCTTAATATTTTATAATATATTTATTATATTTAATAATTTCGTTGTTCTTGACATATTATATATATAAAATTGCATTTGTTACACGAATGTTTTAAGATTATCGGATCCTTTATAGAACAGAAATTTCATCTTTCCTTCGCGTTCTCGTCATTCGATTTTCTTCCTCAACGCCGCTACTACGTTTTCCGACGCGCTTTTACGTTCCCGTAGATGCTTGTAATTAAACTCTAATTGCCGGTATGCTGTTGTGTCGCGTACGACTGACGAGAGGTTCTGACGAAAAATAAAGAGAGGTATCTCGCATTGCGCCATGATGTCGCGTGTCCACGAATGAATACTCTCTAGTCAAGTGGTTGCAGCTGCGCTTTACCAGATAGGATCTAAAAGGGCTATGTAAATGATGACGGTGGAAAGTCGGCGTGGCGTTCACGTTGCTGCGGAAGGTTAATTGTCCTTGTCGCGTTCCGGCATTATACGACGTGTTTCGATACGACAGTTTAGTTTGAACGTGTGCGAACCAGAAACCAATTGACCTACATGATTGAGAACGGATCGTAAAAGTGATGCGTATAGTGCACTATCCTGCAGGAAGACCGAGAATTTTGTTATTGTGGTAAAATTTTCGTAGTTCGAGATAGAATTTGTTGCTAGAATATAACAAACAAACTTTGCTGGCTAAATTTATTTTTCAAAACATAAATTTATTGCTGAAGTCAATTATTTGTCACTTTTCGTTGCCGTTATATTTATATGCTTCGAACCTATCATTTTTTATCGTTTGGATTTATCTCTTAACTAATTGATATTAATCGTATCTATAATGAGAAGATAGATGTTTTAAAATGAACTCTTGCTAATTTTTATAATTTTTATTACTTTGCATATTTATACATTTTTTAATATATAATAAAGCCTAGCATATATTTCTAAAATAATACGACGTCTTATATAATTTACATTACAAATGACATAATACTATACAGTACTTATAAGCTTACAAAGTGACGTAGATGCCATATATCTGTACATCGAGCTAGATGGTAGATACAGCAGTAAACGCGACGGATTATCCAGGCCATTGCTTAGTAAATCTAGTAGATCCTAGCAAATCGCGCTCGTTTCCTGAATTCACTATGGCACTGGCCGATATTTAAACGGTACGACCGATTTAGTGCCGCGACAGTGGTATACAGTATAAACACCGAGTCATTTAACGAGCTAGCTCGTTAATCACATACTTGTTAACCACATTGTGTTAGAGGGTCGTCGGCATCTACCTAGGAAATGCCTGCAGTTCGTACGCGTCCGTCACAAAAATTTCGCTAATCTGTTACCTGGAAATTATTCTGTGGTCGGGCCATTAATTATCGTTATTTCCGAGACTTGTATGTTCTCGATCAAATGTGGAGAATACAGAAGGTACTGGAGAAAGAAAAAATAGAAAAAGACTTACCTTTAAAATTCGGTAATTGAACAGTTTAATAAAAATTTGATTAATATCACATTTGTGAGAAGTGGCATTATTTCACAAGTATTACAATAACTGAGTTTTATTATTAATCGTATCATGTTCGGCAAGGTTTAATGACGAATTAATCGCTATCACTATCGGTATGCAATAACGACTATCTATAAACGGATTGTCTATAAAGGGGGATAGACGATGATGAAACACAATCCGGACACATAGAGACTCTGGAATTTACGTTACCAGTATGATCATTACAGACTATACATATATATTGACTGATAACAATGCATATTTCTATCCCCTCCATCCTTCGCTCTCTTATCCTTGATGACCATTTCCCGATGTTGTCCTACCTGGGGTGTTTGCATGCTGAAATCAATTGCGTTAGAGATTACCGCGTTTGATTCAATTTCGAATTCTGGCTGAGCTTAATTTATTGTCGTTTCGCCCAACGCTTGCACTATTTGACTATGGACTTTGCTTCTCTCATCTAACCATCATAGTTACATGTATGTATTTACATCTATACACGCATCTATGAATATATGTGAGAACATGGTCGATTGTTTAATCGCAGAATACTACTAATCTTTGAACATGCGATAGACAATTATGTACATTTCATCGAATTGTCGATTTCGTGTTGCCGCAAATAGAAGATAAAAATTCCAAGTTAGAGAAGAGAATCACAATAAATAACACTAATGTAATAAAATGATAAAGTTTGCCTCTCTCATAAATTTTTATATAGATTTGAAATTCGAATATATATACATCAAGAGAAAAGAATTTGGTATTTGTGACTGTAATTGTACAGTAAAATAATTAGGAACTTTATCTTTATTGTTATTACTGTTATAACGTGTTAGTAATAATGATTATTACAGCAGTAATAATAATTATATAGTAGTAGTCTCATGATCGCAAGGAGGTACAAAAGGGTAATGCTTCTCTCTCTTTTTAAATTTTGGCAAGAAGAAACGAGAAAATATTTTTACGATGAAAAGTTAAACGTTTATTGCTCAATTCATGGCTCACACGTTATTCATAAGAAAGTTTTTACTGAAAATCCTCAAAGGCAAGTTTTAACATATGTATTTTAATGTTTTGTGTAAAGATAAATCTCTTCCTCTAACTGAAATCTTGGGTACGTCCATTATCTGTATTTCTCAATCGCTATATATTGTAAATATTGAGGATATTTAATTCTATTACAAGTTTGAACTATGTATGGCTATCTGAATTGATATCACTATTTGACATCTGACTTATTATCATTACCTTTAGTAACACGATGCGGAGATAGGTTTTTTTACCGTTGCTCATGAAATGTTTGGGTTGCCGATAAATGAGTCACTATTTGACATCTGACTTATTATCATTACCTTTAGTAACACGATGCGGAGATAGGTTTTTTTTACCGTTGCTCATGAAATGTTTGGGTTGCCGATAAATGATCCACACTGGAATGCAATGATAATAAGCTGTGCGCAGCAGCTACGTCATTGTTGCCAATGTTGATAATCAACGGCATTGTTACCATGTTTATTGCGTCTTCGCGACGAGGATCGCTCATCGTACTGCTTCTGCTTTTATTGTTATCTTCTATTACTAGGTCCTTCACTTGCAATGCTTTCGCAACTTTTAGCACATCATTCACTTGATTCTTTATTACGTTTGTCTTGCCTTGATACATGAACTGCAGAATCGGCATCATTTCTGAAATTTTGATATTTTTGAGCACGATTGTCTGATGTTCGCACGGTAGATTGAGGAATAAAGTTCGAAAGTAGGTCGAGTACGCGGACAGCACGATCTTATGGCACTTGACCATCACATTGTTATCCAGGACGAGGGTGATATCGGCGAACATCTTGTTGTACAGCAGATTGTTGAAAAAATTCAGTAGTGTCGACTGATGATTATTCCATTGGATGCAATACCTTTCAGATGAGACAGCCATAGTGTCCAAGATGGTTGTCTATTTGAATCGAATTTGTAGCATGAGAGGCTCACGTTGAAGTGATTTGATCGAGCGACGAGATAGAAATGCGAGCCTCTCTGCATCTATTGATCCTAGTGAGTATCGTGATTTTATCACATTCATTCTGATAAAAACTATCAAAAGGTAAATATTTGAAATCATAAATTACTTATTTTATCTATAACACAAACTTTGTCTAAGGCAAACATGTCTGCAAGTTGTCGCCATTGAGCTTTATAATGAACTGGTACGAGCCTTCCCAACACTAAACTATAGAAAACTGTAGCCTGACGGAGACAAAGAAGGCAAGCAATATTGGTCTTTCTGACTTTTTTCTATTTATGGTAGTAAACAGCATTAGCCAATCAGCGAACCCCTGACAAAGAAAACAGTACCAACTTTACATTAGAGTGTTCTTGTTTAGGAACTGAGATATCCCCACTCTTCGATGGCACTCCAGTATGTTATAGAGCTCACTGGTCGCCACCACCTTGTATCCGTGTATTATATCATGACTGTGTATTAAAAGTTTGATATAATGATACGTAAAGATGGGGAGTGTTGTACACCGTTACGTATTAAAATGTGTTATAATGATACGTAACGGGCTTGACTATTTGTTGGTATTTTGCTGTCACATCAAAGGAATCAGCTTCGTGTTTTGTTCTTTCTCAATTTTATCGTGAAAAACAAAAAATATGTTATCGAAGTTTGTAGTAAAAATCGAGTCAAAATGATAGGCTTGCTTCTTGTTCCTTTTCTCTCATTTTTGTTGACCACATTTGGGGTGCGTTCCGATATTCACTGCCAGTGCTGAAACTATATAGTATACGTTACGTGCGCTATAGATTTTTGGCACTGGCAGTGAATATCGGAACGTACTCCAAATGTGGTCAACAAAAATGAGAGAAAAGGAACAAGAAGCAAGCCTATCATTTTGACTCGATTTTTACTACAAACTTCGATAACATATTTTTTGATATACTATTTAGATACGGATGGTATAAACCATGCTTTATGTAATCTATGTTTTTGGTATTCGTGGTCATTTCTTGACGTTTGTCTATGTTACAAATAATATAAACAGGATTATATTATTTCAATCTTTTATAACTTTGTCACCCTTACTATTATGATAGTGAATCTGTAAATTGAAACAAATTATTTGTCTTTAATGTAGTGTGAAGATATATAGATAATTTTGTATATAAAATGCAGTTTACATCTCATATAAATGCAAACTATTATAGCTATGAAATATACATATTAAAGAAACATGCGTCATTTGAAGTGCATCGTATTTTTGTATGAACATCTGGAAAAATTATATTGAACTTTTGTATACTTATCCTTATCTCCCATGTCTTGATAACGTTGTCGTCGGATCCGCATGCAATGCTTCGTCTCAGAAGCGGTTGTAATGAAAAAATTCACGGTTTCATGGACAAAAGGTATGATCCCATAATGTATATGGTAACATCGCTTCTGAGACAAAGCATCGTAGATCCAAGTTATGCGCGTTTAGCGATCTATTGTAGTCAAGACGCGAGTGGCAAGGAAGGGATAATCTAGCTGAAAGTTATATCTGATGTTGACCATTATTCTGGACTATACAAATATGTGAATTAGGGTCATAAATATAGATGTGAGATACAGGTATTTTATGATTCGTGCTCGAACGAAAGCTAGTTCTGATAAAATCGTGTTTTATATTTTTGCTTGAAATTTTCAACCTGTGTTTTAACGTAATTTATGGCGCGCTGGATAAAACTTAATTATGCGATTATAACCGGTAATCAAATATTTGATTACTGCATTTATTTCCCATATTACGTAATATTACCCTTCACTTGCTCTAAGGCATAATATTAATATTCTGTTATAAAAAGTATATATAATATCATTTTCATTTATTTGAAATTTAAAATAATTAAAATAATTTATTAAAATTATTTAGCTATATTTGATATTCAATTCATGAAATCTTACTTTCACGTATTCATTGTATTTGTTGATTTGGTAAATCCAATTTTATTTCTTGTTTTTTAATATATAATACAATGAATTGAAATATTTAAAAGATACCACGGGTCATATTATACTTTACTAATAACGGACGCTTAATTAAATATTAAATCATAGCACATTTTCTGAAAATAATGTAAGGTGTGCATCTGTGATATACGCGACAAGGTGTGACTATACGTGCGTCGCTCCATTTAGCACCGATGGAAACCGGAAGTTCTTCCTGCATAGCGCTGGAATTGCGCGGGTCGAGGGTTGACGCGGAGTCCTAGCAATTAACACGAACGTTTAATTAAGCGTCCCCCTGGCTAGATGCACGTAGACGCTGTTATTCTCACATACCTGAAGCTGAGATATATCGTTACTACTAACAATTACTCCAACACGTTGCATGGATAGAAGATTGTCTTTGAGACGTTTGAATTAATAGAGCAGCTCAATTAATTTTTGTTATTTGTCCTTTTCCTAATTACAAGATTATAAATTAAACTTTTTATTAGCTTTCGAAATTAACGGTGGTATGAAACTTTTCGATTTATATACGAACGTGTCAATTATATTTAATGTGAATATATAAAATAGATGAAATTGGTTAACAGAGATAGTAATATGCACAACGAAATTAAATTTTTAATTGGATGTAGTTTGACTTTTTATACGAAAAATTAATTAAAATTAATTTTTAATATAGTAATGCTTTATTTATTAAAAATTCGTTTAATGGAAACAAGATTAAATTGTTATAAAGTGTTCTTATAAAGTTCTTATAAAGATCATTATTTTAGTATTTATTTTTTTAGATTATGATTGTGCATTGAATCGAAGTTCTATCATATTTTTTGTTATTCTATAAACAAGTGGTAAATTACGATGAAAAAAATAAAAGAAAAATAGACAGTTCAATATAAATTTCTACCTTTCGATTCGCCTTTCCAACCTTTTTCGCAAACTGAGATAAATCCGCGGGTCATAAATATAGAAGTGAGAGCCGCTGTAGCGTTGTTCAAAGTTACATATTGTTTCATAAGAACGGGATGAGGTTGAGAAGGCGGTGATAAAGGGGAAAGTTGAAGCAGGAAGGTAACGTTCTTCATGGCGTGCCGTGACTACCGAGTATCGTTTTCCCAACCTAAACAGCAATGAGCGAGCAGTAAGGAGTATTTTATGGCAACCATGGGAGTATTTCTATCTTAGATATTTGTGAGAGGGAAAAAAATCGTCACGAATAAAATTAAGTTTTTTTTTTAATAGAATAATAAATAATCTTTTATATGTTGTATGATATCTCTTAGATGTAATTTTTTATAAGTATCTTGTGAGCTATATATAATCCTATTAAATTTGTAACGTAATGGATTTTTGATGTTTGGTTCAGCATTTAGAATTGAGATCGTGTTAGTCGCGATTGCAGTTTTGCAATTGCGTGCTTGCGCAGTTATGTAGCTATTATATGGATGTACATCGATCGTACGTACATCGTTTAGAGCGTATTCGCCGGGGTAGATTCAACTTTCAGTCTTTCTCAATAATCGTTAATCGCCACTCAAATAAAAATTCGATCGCAACGCTATTCGGATTCAAAGTTAGCTTTTCCAGTGATGTGACCCTTTTATCGTTAATTGCATATTGTTTTCCGTAAACAAAAATAGTCGAAACGATCGTACTATCGTACTGTTTTATCAGCCGTGCAATTAAAGTTAAACAACTATAACGAGCTTGGTAGGCCGAGCGTTAGGTTCATTCGCGAGTCACGAGGAATATTTCGCTGCGCAGAAAAAGAGTTGGTAAACGCGGACCAGAAAAGAAAGAGCAAAACTGGTATCACCACAGAGAGACCGCGAGAGTTTATAAGTTTTAATTGGGGGAGAGGCAAACGGCAATTGGAGATCCTGTCCTCTCTTTCACGTTTACAGCCGCTCTTCAACTTTGTCACCTTTTAGGTCTTCATCCTTGTTTATCCGCCGCTGCGATAATAATAATACTTACTTATTGTTTTAGAAATTAACTCTAGGCTTCTTGCAACTATAGCAAGTAGTCGTAGAAGGGATGATAGGGTGAGAATTCTCTGCATTCACTTCAATTAACCAGTAATGGATTAACGGATTATCTCCTTCTCAGTTTACCTCGACGTAACTATCATCCACAGAGCCACCGGCAATGTCAGCGTTTAAGGTGGCGTACTAAAGTCCGCGTCCGTACCTTCAAGAATTGTACTTTTTATCGCGAGTGTTTCAGCGATCGATATATGATAACGGGATTTTGCTCGTTTGTATTGAGATTCTTAAAAGAACGTGGATAGAATAAGTACAATCAAAGCTGTAACATAATACCGAAAACGAATGCATTGCAGAAAGTATGGAAGAATTATATATCAAGTTATACATATATCAAAAGTATGAATTACGTAATGTTTTATAAAAAAGCTGTGTCGTAGTTGTAAATGGATTTTATAAAAGACTGTACCAATGTGTAGACGTCGATCTGATAAAAACTGATCGTAATAAAACTTCCAACTTTCGATATAAAAATTGAATTAAATATTTTATCACTGTGTATCAAAGACAATATAATTATAAATTCGAAATTAATAATGTATCATCTGACTTTAATATTTATGTATCAGTGTGACAATCTCTTCTATTCATATATACTTGTATAGATATTTCGTCCATCGACCATTCCATGCAGTTGATATGTCAAAGTCCCATCGAAGATCTGATACCAAGTAGGAGGGAAATCGTGGTAGTACTTTGTTTGATTAAAGCGAGATACGCTTTGTCAGTGTTGTTCGTTTACGAGATCGATACAAGTGAGTACGATTTCATTCTATTGATAATAGAATCGTTTAGTCTCAGCTATTTTGTGACAAGAAGCGAATCATAAAACTGACAATGAGATAAAATCATGGTATTTTGTAGAATTTTCTTTTTTAAAGTCAAAGTTTTTTGTAATAT